TTTTCCACTGGGTCTGAGATCTTCCCGTGGCAGTGCACAAATGACTTTCCATTCTTCATGACTGTGTGGTATGCCATCGCATGGACATAATACACATTCAGATCTATGTGGATGTAATATGCATACATTTCCTCCATCCCCTGTTGATGAGTTGTTTCCCATCACCTGCTATTGTAGTCCGTGCTTCAGTGAAGAGCCTTATTGATAATTTCATTGCATGCATGTCCAAGAATACAGCTAGAGGAGAAATTCCTCCAAGCGTAAATGCTGCTTCAAAAGTACGGACTCGTGTGCCCTGGTAATCTTGATGGAATTGCCGAGTCCCACCAGTTTCTTTTCTTCACTGAGTATACGAGAGTGCCAGTGTTCCTGGCACACACACAAAGGGTCTGGAGGAAATTCCAGTGCCCAGTGCCAGCTGTTAAGAACCACAGTGCTGGATGTGTCATCCATGTGGCTGCTGGACCAGCACATGGCATAGCAGGACCTCTGTGCTGCACAGGCCTGAGGCCCCTCCTTCCCCTGCTCATTTGTTCCTAGAACATTCAGGAACAGCTGCACAGGCGCCTGGGCCTCTGGCTCTGTGCGAAAAGGGTGTGGGGTGGCATCCTCTGCCCTGCTCTAATTTCACGATGGCCAGAGAGAATCGCCATCAGCAACATCAGCCCAGTGCTGATTCCTATCAGGCAGAGGTCAGACATGCGCCACCTTCCAAACTTTTCACCAATTCTTGACACCACCCATCCCTCCCACAGCACTCTCTACTTGTCTGCTAGGTTCAGTTATTCGTTGCACTGGCCACACAGAACTCACAGACATTACTCATGATTACGGGGTTTAGTAAGGAAGTGACAGGTCACAATTTAGTTTCAGAAATTCTCAGGATACAGTTCTTCAATCAGGACAGCTTCCCCTTGGCCATGCCTGTAGGCACACCTCTCTTTGGCTTTGGCTTTGGCTGTGGCCTGGCCTCTGCCCTGCTCAGCAGTGTTAGGGAGCTCTTTTTAGCTCAGCAGTAGATGCACCCTACTCTGCCAGCGAGCCTACTGCCCAAAGGCACTTAGCTCTCTTGCTCTGTAGGCCACCAAGCCTACCACTCTGACCTTGGGCCAGTCTCTCAGTTCTGCTGCCGCTGTCTTCCTACCATCTCTGCCTTCGTCTCAGTGCAGGGATCTTGCACTCCGCTTCTGACTGTTCTCTGTCTTGCTGGTAATGAATGAGATTCCCCTTTTCCACCTCTGGGATGGCTGATTTTAAGCCTAGTGAGATAGCAAAACTGACTAATCCCCGTGTTAGGGCTCCATCAACCTTATTTCCATGACCCCACCCTCACAAGGGGAGCTGTGGTAGCATAGCGGCTAAGTCACTTGCCTGCTAACCAGAAGGCTGACGGTTCAAACCCACCAGCCACTCCTTGGAAGGAAGGTTGGGCAATCCTACTTCCGTAGTGATACTGCCTCGGAAACCCAAGGAGGGGTCGCTATGAGTCGGGGCCGACTCCACGGCACATAACAACAACAACAACACAACCCTCACAAGAGTGCCATGTACCCTATTTACATTATTAACACGCTCTGCAGTCGTGCTGGGTCAGAGCCACCTTGTATTTGCATAGTGCCACCCAGTCATCTGGTGGGCACCACAAACACCATGGCCAGAAGAGCCATTCTAAGTAATTCACTGCCCCCCACTGGGGATGTGTACACACACACACACACAGAGGGAGAGGGAGAGAGAAAGGAGGCCACAGCCTTGTAGCACAGTTGAGGCAGATGTGAGTGGAGTGAAGGGTGTGAGTGGAGTGAAGGCCCTTTGCCCCTGCCTCACTGCCTCTCTGACCTGGGTTATCACCGTGGCCTGTGGCCCAGCTCCAATCCTCCCTCCCCTCTCATCCCTTCCCTGCTTATCCTCCAGGATGATTTCTTTCTCTGATGCACAAACTTTTCTTGTTTTTTACAAGTTAATTTAAAATGTTTTTATTATGCAAAATGGTAAGCATTCTGAAAAGTACAGAAAATAATGTAACAGACACCCATGTGCCTACCAGCCAGATTCCACAGATGTTCACATTTTGCCATATTTGCTTCCGCTCTCTTTTTCATTGTTATTATTTTTCAAAGAAGGAAATGGTAGAGATACACCAGAGTTGCCCCCTCACCCTCCGTCCACACCCGCCTGGCATCCACCTCCCTCCTCACCAAAGGCAGCCACTCTCTGGACAAGCCTTCCCATCCCCCTTTCCTGCCGAGAGCCCTTCCCCAGAACTCCAGGCCCCAACTTGACCTAGCCTGACCTCCTGCCCTTTCAACCCGTGTGACCTCCACCCCCAAGTGAATTCCTGCTTGTCCTTCAAGACTGAACTCAGACACACCTCTGACACCCTTCAGTGCTTAGTCATACCTCCCATGTGAGGTCGTGTCCCGTGGCGGTAACCCCATGTCATATTCACCTTCATACATGTCTACCATAGCACAGTGCTTGGCACATAGCAAACCTACAGAACAGAGTAGAGCTGTGGAGTTTCCAAAGCTGAAATCTTTATGGAAGCACACTGCCACACCGTTCTCCTGCAGAGCAGCTGGCGGGTTCAAACCACTGATCTTTGGTTAGCAGCCAGAAGTATTTAATGACCCACTCCACCAGGGTTCAGGGTTCCTTCACTGGGCATGTAGTGAAGGAAAAAAACATTTTTGCTGACTGGACAGGTGCCTAGCCAAAGCGTAGT